ATGTGTTGCAGGCAGACGTGGAGACACTGTCTTTGGAGGAGCAAAGATTAGATGATCAAATAAGGTTTTATAGTTGTTTTGAGTTAGAGAAAAAAATTTGCTGTTTCAAAACTGCTGGCTAATACTGTTGCTTTGGATTTTGGTAGGGGAATGCAGGAAAGGCTGAGAAATTTGAGTGAAGATAAAAAACCAGAAGTATTTTCTTCCCGTCAAGATATGAGATTAATTTCTCTTTATGAAGGAAAAAATAAATGTTATCATAATAATTCTTGTGGATTTTTCATTTAGGTGGCTTTTTGTAACTGAAGAAGATATTAAGGGCCTACCCGGCTTGCAGGTGGGTGTGCAATGTACATGATTGTGCCTATCATGACAATTGCTATACTCCTTTTCATGCTGATTATTGCAAGTGCTCACTTTTAACTGGTGGTCTTTATGCATTTCTCTAAGCAGAATGAAACTCTAATAGCAATTAAAGCCCCACATGGAACCACCTTGGAAGTCCCTGATCCTGAGGAAGTAAGTTTTGGGCATTTACTTTGATGGAAGTTTCTTGATGTTTTGAAATTGATGTTTCTGATGCATGATGGAGGTTGTTGCTTCTATATCCATCAGGCCGTTGACTATCCACAGAGGAGATACAGAATAATTCTTAGAAGTACAATGGGTCCCATTGATGTCTACCTTGTCAGGTATCCTTGCCTTGGCCAGCATTTCTTTTTGTCATTCCCCCCCTCCCAGTTTGTCCGGTAATCACGTTACTTGATTTTGTCAGTCTGGTTATAAGTATTTTGTGGTAGTTGTATATTTACTGTATTCATGCCACTACTATTTCATTGTCGAACTTCTGAATTATTTTCTAGTCAATTTGAGGAGAAATTTGAAGAGATGAATGGTGTTGAGCCCCCTGCAAGCCTCCCACTTGCTTCAAGTTCAGGGTCCAATGAACACCTAACGACAGAAATGACTCCTCTTGAACACAATGGAAAGGGTCTTGAATCTCAAACTCAACTGCCATCTCATACATGCTCTGATCTAAATGCTTCACCAGAGTTCGGTGGGGGCATGATGAAAATTGTTCCTTCTGACGTTGATGTAAGTTTATCATGTTCACTTTGTAGTAGCTCTGAAGCAATTGGAAAAGTTGTTATCAATCTGCAAAGGGTCTGCCAAGGCGCAGTTCAAGAACTCAACAATCTCATTACTTTACCTTTATATCTAATGCCACGTGGCGTTTTTGTTTTACGCTTGCAGAATGATGCAGATTACTGGCTACTATCAGATGCTGACGTTAGCATTACAGATATGTGGAGAACAGATTGTATCCGTCATTTCAAATATTTTATTGCCTTCTATTTCCACTTGCCCTTTCTCCAAGTTCTCCCCTTGTACCTTTTTCTCCCCTCTTGTGTTATATTAATTCCTTAACTCCAATTTAACAGCCAGTGTTGATTGGAATGGGGTAGACATGCTTCCCTCTGATTTTGGAATCGCCTCAAGACCACAAACTCCATCATCCGGGTTTGCTGATGGACCATCCACATTAGCTAACAATACTCAGAGGTGAAAGCTGATGCGTCTAAAATCATGCTGTACCAGAAAGCATGGTTGGCCCCTGGCCATTTATTCTTTAAAGGAAATTTCTTCGATAAAGTAATTGGTAGACTTTTTGTATATCGAGGATGATCCCTGGAGCCGTTGAATGTGAAGCTGGGGGTTTATGCTATGCTGTACAGTTAACGTCATTGACCATCTCTTTTGAATAAACTGGTAACAGGTTATGCTTCACGGACAATTTAGCTTGAAGGCAGATTCGTTGATTCCAGGGATGTTACTGAAAATTTTGCTGTTTTGCGAAATACAGCAGACGCCATATTCGTTACCTCATCTCAGCGATTGCCTACTTCGAAGTCTCAGGCGTCATGGATTCCCTTATTTGCAAGGTCTGCAATACAGCGCAGCTAGGTAGACGCTGCGCCGGCTGCAGCCAAGTTGCAAAGGTGTAGTGGATATCATTATCAGGAAAAGATCCTTCATCTTAAATAATTATTCATGCTGGTTGTATACATTTCCGAGTGATAAAATCATGTCACTTGAAATTAGCTGGAAATTTCATTATCCAAATCGTAGTTTTAAGTATATTTAGAAACTGGGCAGTAGCTAATGGGGCTATGACAAGCCCCAGGGGGGCTGTTGCTACTCCGCTGGGATGCTTTCAGAATTGAGGATGATGCGATGTTATTGTGCCTAAAATATAAGGTATTGGAGCTGGGGTGTTCGAATCTAGCCATCTTGAAAAAATTGAGAATGGAGAGGTTAAAATTTAACATGCGAGTTCACAAAACGCCGAGACCTGGAAGCTGCATGATCTCGTTTCAGCGGAAGACGAAAGGCAATCACAATCGTTCAATTTCGGCAACGAATCTGCTACGATACTGCTACGCACTTTCAATTCGTAATTTCCACTTTGACAGTCGGTCATTGCATGTTAATTTTCACTTGAAAGTTTTAACAGTTAGGAATAATGGGAAGCCAGTCGTTTTATGTAGAACTCGAATTTCTAGCAACTTGAGGCTCTTCCTCCTCTGTGAGACAATGCGTCTTGTATTTTCCCCAACGCGAATGTCCGAGATTAAAAGTTGCCGTATGACATTGAAGGACGAGGATATTGAGTGGAATAATAGTATGAGCAGTAGGGTTCTTGTCACTTAAATAAATGGTTAGAAATTTAAATTTCAGCTCTTGTGCATACAACTTCTTAATTGACAGGGATATCTCTTGCCCTTTATTGCGAGTACCTGGCCCTGGGGTAATTAAACTCTGTTGCCAGTGGAGAGTCCTTGTGTCTCGTATAAAAATAATAAAGGTTAGTATAAAACAAATAATATATGGAAAACCTATCTTTAAAGAGATTTTTGCAACAATTAGGAATAGGTCAGATGTAAAGTTTTTCTTGGTTGGGCGCCAAGGTAATCGTGCTGCAGATCATTTGACAGCTGCTTACAAAAGAGAGTTGATACCCAACGGGTGGCTTTTAGCGGCAACACCTCTCTTGGATGAAATTTTATTAAGTGACATGAATAGTTGCAAGAATTTGGCCTCAAGTTCACTTGGTCAGATGTCTAATGTTGCAGATTCTAGTTGTGCTCCTCGTAGTATTAATAGTCCTACTGCTATACAAAAAGATGTCGGCTAGTCTAGTTTGAGCCTTTGTTGTATTTTTGTAGTCTTTGTTTTGCTTGTATTTGCTTCTTTTTTAGTCAGTATGTTTTTTTTGGGGGGGTCTATATGTTTTTTTTTTTGAGTCTGTTATTTTGTTAATAGCCTTAGTGTTTTTTTGAGTATTTGTTCTGTATTTTTTTAGTCTGTTGTTCAGTTTTCTTTAGTAATAAAAATATCTCTTTGGCAAAAAAAAAAAAAACTAATATAAAGCATTGCTTGGGGGCCCCCGGGGGGTTGGGGAACTAGAATGAAGCATTAGATGTTTTTTTCCCCAAAAAATTGAATATGATGGCGTACGTCCATTGTTGCTTTTTAGTGTATCTGGATACAAATCATTTAAAAAAAAAAAAAACAATCTGTAATATATGATTGAGCGTTGTCATGGTCTAAATAGGAGGTACGCTCTCTAAAACAGTCTTTGTATTCACAGACATAAAAATGAGAACTTGAACTGAAGTGGTAACCCTTTTCATAAGTACCAAGGAGTATGTTACTTAAAAGTAATTCTTCTCGTACTTGCTCACCTTCGAAATTTTCATTGCATATTTTGTCTAGTTAGAGCTAGAGATAGAGATAGAGATAGATGTGCTGTTAATAGTGGAATAATGTATCCATCCATACAGTGTATCCAAACATCTTGGGTATCATAATTGCATCATTGTTCTTCCTCCGGAAAGATCATGGATGATTTTTTTGTACTTCTTTCTCTCATCACTTATTCTACTTTCCATCTCTTATCTCGACTACTACCTCATATTAAAATAATTAAAATTTAATATTTTATAAAATTATTAGTAAAATATCAAATAAAATGATTTTGTTGTTTTTTATCTGTTGCTGTTTTGAATTGTTTTAACTAGAATGGATCAAAATTTTTAATTTTTTTTAATATTATTCAGTATTTTGAAAGAAAAGGGAAGTGCAGAGAATACCTCCCCACGGAAACATTGTGTAGCCTTGTGAGCTGTGTCCAGACAAGGAAATTGGCCGCTTCCCCTCGACTCGACCAGTCATTTTCAAAAGCAAAAATAAAGAATGCACATAATTCTAATGACTAATTTGTTAGTTAAAAAAAAAAACTTTAGGGCCACTCAAGTTCAAAAAACTATGTTTTTCTCATAACAATTTAATTGTTCGCCAATTAATTAGATAGGCTTCACGCGTTGTATATCTATAAATAAGATAGGTTAACAAGATGGAAAAGAAAACAAGCAAGGGAGAGAGACCGAGCATGGTCAGGGTTCTTACGGAAGCAACAGCAAACGAGTGAACCACAGTCGACTAAGGCAAGGAATTGGAAATTCAAACTCGGCTGTTTGTTTTGTTCGTGGATTTAAAAATCCCTTTTTTAATAAGGACGATATGACTTTCTTGGTTGCTCTATCCTTTTCCATAAAAATCCTCAACTTGCATGTTATTGATCTCACGAATAATCCAACAGATAGAGATGACTGACGTCGTCACTCACATTGCTTGTTAGTTATTTGACGCTTCATCATACACTAATAAAAGCAAAATATTATTTGAAACCAGGCCAATTATTACCAATCACTGGGAAGTGTCGCTTCTCATCTCTTCCATCAGTGCTCAGATGATCAAAATACTTGCAATAAATTTTACTGGTATATGTTTTCCTAAACAATATGACGAGGTGGGCGGGTGTGATACACATGCCATAAATCGCGAAAGTCGTACGAGATAACGAAAGGACGGGAGCGAAGATTAGAGGGGAGGACAAGCCAATAATTGCCAAAGCCGAAGACGTTGGAGGCTTGGAGCCAATCTGCCACTGTCTCCTTCCTCTCGTCTTCACCTTGATTCCTCCACTTTTTTGTTGGCCCCATTCCATGGACGACTGCCTTCCATCTCCGAAGACACCGTCAACTCTCCGCCGCTGGCACTCCATACCCACTTCCGTCGTGGTGCCCCCCCGAGCCGACTCCTATGCCGCCGCCACGCACACGCCGCGGCCATCAGTTCTCGACTTGGACTTTGGCTCCATCAAGTCTCCCTCTTCCTACACGTCCCTTAGAGATGTACTTCCTTCATCCGCCGCAGCCGTCAATTCCCCCACCGCCTCCTCCGCCGCCACCAACTCCTCCTATCACATATCCATTCGCAATCGCCTCGTTAAGCAGGCCGCTTGGGCTTACCTCCAGCCCCTGTCTGCTTCCCCACAAAGCTCATCCGGCCCAAATATACTCCGCCGCCTCTCCTTGAGATTCTCCTCCTGCTTCCGCTCGTCCGTCAACGGCTACTTCCGGGCGCTACCCGAATTTTTTATCGGATACTCCGGGCATTCCGGCGCCGTGTAAGCCTATAACGTTTTCGTCTAATGGCGGGACGCATATATCCTTGCCTTTTTTTTTTTCCTGCGGTTGAAGAATGGAATCTGTTTCTTATTTTCCTATTTTATAGTTTTATACTTGCCTCCTGATTTTGATGGTCTCAAAATTACAAACGAATCAAAGAATACTCGAATTAATCATGAAAAAGAAAGGATGAAAAAAAGGACGAGCCAAGCAATGGAATTCATATTACAATTTACAAGCCAAAAAAAATAAAAATAAAAGTTATTTATTTAGCTTTTCGGATGAGGAGGGCAGGAGAGAGAAGATTAATCTGCTCCATAGCTCCTATTGGGACTGACATTAACTGTACAACTCTTACAGTTCTCGACGCTGTGGACTATGTGGCGATCGCGGGCTTCCTGTGTTTAAGCGCCTGAGCCTTGCGCGAGCTTGGTTGAGTGCATACTTGGAATAGCCTTCTTCTCCCTCCTTTAGTATGATCATCCTCCTGCACTTGCTGATGAAGCCTCACACTTCTGAACTTTGGTGTCTCCACCCGCTTCAGACTCGGCGATGGCGGAGGACTTGGGGGCGACTTCTTGATCTTGCCCGCTACACTATTGTCCTCCATGGCAGATTTCTTTGAAGAATTCATTTCCTGTGGGGCACTTCCTTCCTGCATGTAGCTCTTCTGCAATAAATTCTCCTCAGTAACATGCTATCATTGCTGTAATCTATTTTTTTCCTTGCATCAACACACATAGATAACAAAGTAGATGATGCAGAAAGTTTTGTCGTGTGCTTGTTGTACTTATAATTGGTGCTATTTGCTCAAGTTGGTTGATTGGAAACAATGGGGTAGTCAAATTAATAAGAAAATGAAAGGAAGTGAAAAATTGAGACAAGACCTGGGGAGGGGGAGTAGCTTTCAATCTAATAGACTGAGTGGCCAAGTACTCGAGACCCTGGAAAAATGCTGAGTGCCCCATTTTTGCACTGATTTGCCAGTAATGAGCGACCAAATCCCGTCCGCTAGCTTTCAGCTCCATCAATTGCTTGTCAATCTCGTTTTCATGTCTTGCGACAACAGGACGCAGCACTGTTTGATAAACAAACCCTGTCCCCTGCAGTTAAGTTAACAATACTTGTATTAGCTATCTCCCCATTTCTGAATGAAAAGAAACCCATGAGTGTATCAAGCTCTTACTTTAGTTTTGGGGTACCACAGGTAGACAAAGAACGCCACTTTCATCTCTCCATACAATGGTAACCTTTATGAAGTTGGATGTTCATTAACGGCACATAGCCAAATTTAAAAATCCAATAGCTGGGGGGAAAAGAATGCAAAAATGCAATACATACCATCCAACAAATATATCTGTAAACCTTTCCAGAACTGTGACGATAGCCACAATGATCCTGCATATCAATTATGCATAGGTTATAATTTTACTCATAGGACCAAGAACAAAAGCAGGATGTATCGTCCTCGATGTTCTTGAGAAACTGTCATCTTTGTTATTCCTAACTCCATTTGGAAGAAAATGGCGCATTTGGCTTTTGAAGGTGGGTGGTTTCAGATACCCGCACTGTAAAATCAGTAGTTTTGTAAGATGCCTAATACAGCATCATAATCACGTGCACATGATTCGGTCCTCTCTTTACTCTGCTTTTCAAGTTAATGACCTCCATTTGAATGTTGCAGGAAAAAGATCCTTTTCTTGATAGGCGGAGTTCAATCTCTCCGATTTTTTTTAGTCAAATTATATCCCCACGTCTTGAACATGATGAACATCATCAAATTTGAATGACATAAACTTGGTAGCAATCATACAGCCAATCGGGAAGGGAATAGGCTAATAGAAGGGAAGTTCATTTACTGAAATTGAACTCAAAAGAAGGCGAAGGTGGATTTCTCTTACCAGTATTGGCACCAGAAGCGGAGTTCCTCAATCTGGACCCTGTTCTTTTCTACAGTCTTATAGCACTCAAATCCAGGGTATGCATACCCCAGAAGCAGACTGGAACCAAATAATTATAACATATAAAAATCACATAATGACTCAAACATCAGAAGCAGAATCGTCGAGGGAAAAAATATACTTACATAAGAATCCGAGTTAAAAAATCACCCAACATTTTCAATCCCTATCACGTCACGGACCGGGGGAACTCTGAAAACGAAGCAAACCCATCAAAGGTCATAACGATCAAAGTACAAAGCTTCTGCAGAATAACCAATTACTGCAAAAGACAGAATCTTGGGAAGGATTTGATCAGCATTACCTGTTCTTCAAAGAGAATTCCAAGATAAATCCTCAACAGACTTATGAGTCCCTTGGTTGAATTATTAAGAGGCACCCAAAACCGTCGATATGGAATGGGGTGCCCCCAGTGATAAAGGTATTGATAAGATGAGATTTAAAACAAAGAATATAGATGGGTTTTCTTCCCTGGGAAGAATAAACTCAGATTCTATTTGAAACAAGAATGAGACAACAGAAGAAGCCTGAGATCAGAGGTAACTGAATGTTGGAATATATATAGGGGTGCAGTTATATCACGACATAAGCTGATTAATGTTTTTTCAAAAATTAAAAAATAGAAAATCTAAGGAGAGACCAAGAGAAAGAGGAGGAGCGGGATTTCTTCCCACAGACGCTTCTCTTTCATTTGGGACGCAACTCTCTTGGGAGTGACTCATTTTGGGGACTTGTTCAAAAACAAACGGTTTTGCGGTTTCTCAGTTAGGCTTTAATAAGCCATTTCCCATCATTTTGCAGCGTTTATAGTTGATCACTATTATTTGACTAATCATTTCCCTCTTAATCGGCAGCGAACATTAGAGGATATAAATGAAAATAGAAATGTACCAGAAGAGGAAATGCCCATTCCTAGGCCGTTCCTCGTGACAGTCGAACAAGCGATTTTGTCCCTCGTCACTCTCTTGTCACGATTAATTAGGCCCTTAAGATCGTGCCCCATAGTTGTTTTCATTAATACATCAACAAGTTTAAAGAGAAAGAATATAGGGCATCTAAAATTTTGATATGATATAGAATCGAATAAGTAAATTGTCAATAATGAAGAGCTATTTTCTCTCGAGTATACGTAGTATGGTTAATAAAGGATTTGGTGAGTGATTTCTGGAACAATGGAAACATCTCATCAAGCAGCTCATATTTATTACTCCCTCCGTTCCTTATTATAAGAGACATTTAATGCTTATAGTATGTTCCTAAATATAAGAGACACTTAAAAGTTGTCTTTATTTTTTGTGTTAATTTTCTATTTTACCCATATTTATTGTCTCCAACTCACACTCTCTCTCCTTCCCACTTCTCTTTCTTTTAAGAATTTACTATTGTTCTCTCTCATGCTCTCTCTCCTTATTAATGAGGGCATTTTTGAAAAAAAAATTATACTTTTTGCACATTAATTGTTCTTAACTAATTTTAACTGTTTTTTTTATCAACGCAATTCAGTTATTCGTCTCTTATAATAAGAAACGGAGGGAGTATAAGATAGCAATTTCAATGATGTAAGTTGTTAGGATCTTGTGATTACCACTCTATATATTAAAGTGTAGTGTAATGTTTGTCTTAAAGAGACTGGGATAGTTGAGGTTCTCGTTTTGCTTTGCAATTACCACACTGTATAGGCTACGAATTTTATTATCAACTTGGGTGACTTGTTACATTTACATTATCTTAGTATGTAATTGAATGATGGCATTCCTTTAATTCAAAATAACTTTTATACTCCTCCGGTCATTAATATAAAACCCATTTAACTAATTTGATCAGATTAAAGAAGTTAGGTAAGTTAGTTAATTATAAGAAAATTGACACATTTTTCCTAAAACACCATAATAATCTTTCTTAATACCCTCTCTCTCTCTTTTACTTAATTATGGTTGAGGGAGTATCTATAGGGGTAACTTAGAGAAAATTGATAAATATGAGAAATTGGTCTTATATTTAGGATCAAAATCAACTCAAAAATTGGGCCCTATATTAAGGACCAGAGGAGTATTTGACATTGGCATGCATTGATTGCACGTTGATCATTCTAAGACGGCTATAAAAAAGATGCACGTGATTTTCTTTTTCTTCTTTCGCCTTAGGCCCTTTCAGTTCCAATCACAGCCGGAGGTGATGTCATGCTCAGTCTTTCATTTAATATTAAGGATTAATAATTAATAAATTTTATTAAAAGTTGCTATTATGTCAACTTATTTGAATTTATATACTCCTCCGATCTTTATTATAAGACTCAATTTGACTTTTTATTTGGTCCTAATTATAAGACCCAATCCATTTTCTCTCTTATATTTATATATTTTTTTCCAAGATAATCCTTCTAATAATGATAGTTTTAGCCAATATACTTAATTAGCAAGGATATTTTAGGAATAACAACACTTATTTATTATAAATAACCAACTTAACTTACTTCCTTAATCTCCTCAAATAAGTCAATTGGGTCTTATAATTAGAACCGGACGAGTATCATTTTAGCGCTGTATAACGACCAGAGTAAGTATAAATTGTTCATCCTGAAAAATACATCTGCTCTGACCTTTTTTCTGTGGCCTCCTTGACTAAAACCAACGCATCGATATTTACATTTGATGGTGAAACGTAATGGACCCAACAGAAGGAGGTGTCATCCAAACCCTATGCGTTTTGATAATCAAGGAACAGTTCACTTTTTAATGCCAAGACATTAAGTAAATATACATCCTCTACTTCGAAGATGATCTTTCTTTTCACTGATGTTATCCTTCTGCTCCCTCATGTAAGCCTCGCACATTTGAGATCACATCAAGGCATAATAAGATAGAGTCGAGAATAGCAGTCGCAAGCTTGTTCTCACTATGCTCTGTTTTCAAACTAATGAAACAGAGCTGTGTTTGATGCGCCAGAGGCTAACTATTACCCAGATCATCTACGTTATACAGCCTTGCACATGATCTTGACGACATCCACGTAATGTCTCGTGGTTGTTTTTAAACTAGGACAACAATTAATCATGGAAATTGCATCATCATAGTGAGCTAGACGGGCATGGACGTGCAGATCATAAGGACGTGTACGAAACAGAGTGTATGTACAATTACTTGCGTGATCCGAGATTCAGGTCGCCGACAACGACAAGCACAAGGAGTGAATTGTAATTACGAAACATTGAGAGCGCAGGGTCCGGGGTAAAGACACAGATAAACAGTACGGACCAATAAATTAATTTCCCCAAATGCAATTTTTCCACCAGAAATTCAAAATTTTAGGGGTAGGTCTCACGTTGTGCGGTAGGTAGAAACAATGCAACCTACTCGCTTCTACTTCGCTATGGCCTCTCGAGGCCGGAAATTGTTAATCATTTATGATAACCTAATCTCAAAGCGGGGTAAATCTTTTAACTGTTGTTATTACTATTATCATCAAAATTAAAATCAAAATATTAATAACTATACTAACACCCAAATCCATACATGATCCCCGCGCCAAATTGCTTTTGCTGATCCATGAGTTGTTAACTTATATATGAATCGATTACTTTGATACAGGCACGTGTGAGAAATAATCGGCTTATCCCCTTTATTAATTTTTCATTTCGTGGTGGTTAAATAAGAGAGAATAAGTCAATTTATAAATAAATTATCCCTCAAAGTCAAAACGTTCTCCATTCCCACGATCTTCTTTCACACCGTACTATTTAAGGGGGTTCTGGCAGCCCAATTTACTATCATATGCTTCACTTTTTTTTGAGTAAGATGGCATCGCTACGGCCAGACTAATCCAGAGTGCCTCGTGCAGGTATCGAGCCCATAACGTGATAGGAAGGCGCCTTGTGTTCCCGTTTGCGACCAGTTGGACCCGACCTTTGCAGGCCTATCATATGCTTCACTTTCTTGCTTCATCCACTGTCCGAATCATCCCTCAACTGCTTCGCAGTTCTTGGTACTCTCAATTCTCTGTATTCTATGACCTTCCCTGACACTTCCAATGTCTATTAAACTGGTTACAACTTCAATTCAGTCATATCTACATTGCCGATTCTTTTACAGGACATCTGAATTCCATTTATCGAAATATCGACGATTTAATTTTGGCTTTTTCAGCTGTCCGATTTTGTAAATTTACCAAGTAACTTTTCCTTTTCAGGACCATTATTACCGCCAACTGCGCAGCTACCAATATGGTTACTGAAAGTCTACTTTCTAAAACTAAGAAGCGTGCCAATTTTCGATTGTGCAATGTATCGAGGTATTTTGTGATATCTATTTAATTAAATGATGATTGTTTTCTTTCTGGGTTAAGAATATGGCAGTTATTTTTAACTCTTGACTTTCGCACCATGTTTTTATTTAGTTACACCACTGAATTATTGGAGATTCGGGCCGAGGATCCAAGTTTTCATGTTCTATTTATACCTGGAAACCCAGGTGTGCTATCGAGCATAGACTGTTTGTTAATATGCTTATGTTTTACCATTGCTCAACGATGACATTTGGGTTTTCCATTTACCGCAGGTATTATCACATTTTATGTGGACTTCATTGAATTTCTATATGAACAGCTTGGAGGAAATGCATCTATCACAGGCAAGTAAACTCAATTTTTCTATCTCGTTACTTGACATGAAACCGCGACTGATATGCTTTTGGTCAAATTTTCACGACGCATCAGCTATCGGCCACATCTCTCACACAATGAAGGTATATTAAATACGTTTACATGAAGGATGCAGTACTTTTATTTGTTTCAATATGGTTGCATGCGTGTCTAACGCAGAGCTTTGTTGCTAGGATTGGGAACGTGGACGGTTATTCTCATTAGAAGAACAGATTAATCACAAGGTAAATTCTATGCTACGATGCTCTTGGCAGGATGTCAGCTGGTATGAGTTTGATAGCTTGACATATATATATACACATATATATTCGTTCATTTTCAAGTTGGTAACACTTGGGATACTGTATCAGAGGTTAGTTTTTAGATTATAATTTAACAAATCAGAATATGTTGAAAGTTTCAAGCTCTTGAATTTCCCCTAAACATCTCTAACTACAATCTGGAAATAGTTAGGATATTGTGCCCATGTGCTTCTACATCATCCTATTGTGCCAAAGGCCCAAACCTTATCCTGGAGACAATAATATTTATTCTAGCATGTTAGATGCGATGCCACACTTATTTTCTGAATTAGCATGTCATGTTTTCCAAATGTTCGGCTCATATTGTTATCTTTGTTTTTAGTTTGAACTCTTCATCCATCCCTTTGATTTATAATCTTTCATATTTGCATCCTTGCTCCAGCATCTCTTCAATTCTCATTTACTGTGTGCTGACCTAGTTATTGTATTCTTCCCTTTTCTTTTGCTCTGTAGGTTGCTTTCATCAGAGAGGAATTGCAAAATGCTGGCATTCCTATTCTACTGGTGGGTACTTTTGTATCTACTTCCATTTTGCAGCCAGAGCTGTTTTAACTTTTTTAACATCTTGTTTGATATGTTCGTATTACGAATGAATAATCATTGTAGGAGTTGCATGGACAAAAACACCATATTTTCGCATGCTAGCTAAAATCTCCCTTTTTCTGGAAAATGCTAATCGTTAACTGTAGTGGATGCAAATCTTTGGTTTGTGGCTTACTTTTGGAGTAACAAGTGTCAAAGTGTAATAAGAAACTAAAGTTTCAGACATGTACGAGGAAATAATTTGTTGGGTCTGAACAAAGCAAATCTACAAGATTATATGTAACAATATTTTCAAGGCAGAGTTGTCCTGTCAAATCTATCCCAAGATGGCTCTTGCCCCAATCATGAATGAATTTCCTTAAGTCCAGTACTTGTGTGCATTTATCTGGCTAACCTTTGCTTATTTACTTGAAAAAGACAAAAACTGGATGTTGGTAAACGAGGCAACCATACCTGGTTCTTGGCCAAAATTATCACCAGCTAGTTGTTACTTTCATGTTCAAGATTTAAACGTATGTGGCTATTGTCATGGGAAACTGCATAAGCATCCTGCAAAGGAAATTAATGAAATGCTTTTTGCAAATTCATGTTAACCAAAAGCATTTGTGCTGAATGGACAAAAGTTTTATTTAAATGAATGAATCAAACATTTTGATAGCTAATGTAGCAATTTCTTCACCAGGTTGGACACTCTGTTGGTTCATACATTTCCATCGAGGTTTTTAAGAGGTCTCCAGAAAAGGTGGTTGGAACTTTATGCATATTTAGCTTAGGTTGTGCTACCTTGCCTTCACTTAAATGATCTGCTCTCCTTTCTTCTGGGTTCTGTAGGTCAAATATTGCATTGTGCTTTATCCATTTTTGACATTAAACCATCAGTCAAGAAAGCAAACTAATATTTTTAAGTGCGCAAGGTGAGTTCTTGCCCTATGGCCAAATCGCTTTGACTTTGTCTACTTTACTTTGCAAATCTAAGAGCGAAATCTTTGGAGTTTCAGATCCCCATTCATATCTACTGCTTTTAGTTACACGATAGCATTATTAGGATTGCTGCCTACATGGGCCTTTGAGTTTTTAGTCAGAAAATCTCTTGGGGCATCCTGGTCCGCCAACGCAGTCGAGGCTGCATGCTCTCACTTGTCAAAGGTTGGTTTTTGCTGTTGAAAAAAATAGCAAGGTTGCATTCTAAACCTATAAACAAATTTGCTAATTGGAAGTCAACTTTAACATGACAGATATCTACCTTTCCATTGTCGCCAATTTGTGGTTTGTTTTACGTTGGGGTCATGGCTGCACCTTTATACTGACTCTTTTAACTTGAAACAACTTTCAGTATCATACTATGCGGAATATCCTCTTTATGGCGGAGACTGAAATTGAAAAGGTAAAACGCTTGTTCTTTGCAAGATTTGCGGTTTCAAATTCAATAGTTATGACATAGACCTATTTCTCTTCAATTTTTATCATGTAAATCTTTCATTTCATTTTGACCAATTGTGAGATTGCTGATATTTAGTTAATATGTGAGTGTTAGTTTTATGTAACATGTCATGAGCTGACTATGCTTGATATACAATCACAAACAAAAACAATGGGAACTTGATAGAACACTACTAGTTTCGCTGAAATAAACAAGTTAGTCTCCTCCAATGAGTAGCAAGAGACAATCACAGAAAGGTGAAGAAAAATAAGAACCATGGAGGTGGTGATGACCTTCGCCTCCCCAACAGCCTGGTTCTTGAGAGATCAGGTTCTCTCCTGCTCTCATGACAGCTATTCCATACCCTCCCACAAAATACCACCTACTAATGTGTACAAACTGATGCTGCCAGTCAGGGTTGTTATCCCTGACTCAGACCATTTTGCTTCTCACACCCCAACATATTGCTTTTTGTGTGTTGGTTGGATCTCTCTTCTTCCTCCCATAAGTCTTGTGGGCTCCAGCTCCTTTGTGACCCACTTTGCCTTTCCTTTGATAAACTTTTCCCCACAACCTATTGAGCCTATCAGAACTGCTAGCACCACTTTGATATGGTGACACTGACATGACGTTCTTGCATTCAGATGCATATGGCAAGTACAGTAAGTTGATATGATGCCCAGGATTTCTTGATATAGAGATAGAGACATATAAGAGAAGATAACACTGGTAATTAACCAAGGAAATGAAGAAAAAATGGCTGTGACCTCAAGGCTCCTGGAAGGAATGTATATGGCTGTTTGGCCATTCAATCATCTCCATTTATTTATTCATTTTCAGGTTCAGTTAATCAGTTCATTGCCTATAGCACATCTTATATTACTAGAAGTTCTTCCAAAGTGTTTTTGCATGCAATTTTTTATCACTGAAAATTGCTTTCCCTATTTTTGTTTGAAAGTTGCTTGCACAACTAATTAAATGCTTTCTGTGTAGCCAACTCTGTGCTAAACTACATTGACTTGACCATCATGTGCTTACCAGAGCATTCTGTGTTAGCTTTCAGAGACACCCGACTGGGCCTTCATAAGAGAAAGAAAGACTCAACTTGCATTTTTATATGGTGTTGATGATCACTGGGGTCCACTTGAAGTTCATGAAGAGGTAAATGATGCGACTATTGCAGTTTCCATTATCTTTGGTGAGATGTAGTTATCATTTTATCATCTAGGACCACCAAAATAATAATAATAATAAGAAGAAGAAGAAGGAGAAGGAGAAGGAGAACCTTGCATCCTCTTTGCATTGTGTGGGTTGGTTAATTATGTACTCGAATTTATATGGTAGCATTGGCGTCCTTTTATGGTTTCGAAATGTTGCGCCCATCTCCCCATATTGAGGTTAGTTTGCAGATTGCAGGAGTGAAATCGCAGCCAACGGCTGAACAGTCCTGTAATTTTGCTTTTTTGAAGAGGGGCTTTCTGCTGAGAGTAAAATGATGACTCCTTTGTAAGCCTCTAGTTGACAGTAGATTCACTAGGAGGGACTAACATTGTTCTAACAAGCTATAAAACTCGTGGGAGTTACACGTGTCGAGATTTGTGATGATAAATTGTTAGAGCTGTCTTTTGGGATGATTCTTAGAACCAGTCCTTGAACGGAGTATGTCTTTCTGTTTTATAGTAAATGAAATGATATAGAACAAGTGCTTAAAGCATGTTGCTAAAACTAAACGATGGGAAAATTTATGTTTTTCATGCTTTCTACAATAAAAGTGATCCTTGATTGCCTCTATGCTTGTCATATGGTTATGGTGTTTCTGATACTTGCATCACCCGATCAACTCCCACAGTAACTTCTCTCTGTTTTTAGGCCAACTTCATAATTTCCTTTTTTCTTGTCACAGCTTTCCAGACAGGTTCCAGATGTTACCTTAACAATCGAAAGAGAAAATCACACCCATAGTTTCTGTTGCACAGAGGAGGGCTCATTATGGGTGGCTCAGCACGTGGCTAGCTTACTCAAGGATCAGATGACATGCAAAAGCACATAAGGTCCGACTTTCTTTTCTGCTTCCTTCTTCTACTACCCGAGTTTTCTCAATTATTTAGCATATTGGGCTTGCCTATTACGTAGATTCTATTATATTATTTCTTTATTTACTTTTGACGTTCCTCCATTACATATGAGAATTTGAAATTAAATCTTATTAGAGAGGATGCCAGAAGTGACAGGTGACATGGTCAACATTGGGAAGGGGGAATGCGTGAGGATCAGAAAATCACGTGTGTTTGCATGAAAACTTTAGCTTTCATCTAATTGGGCCTGTTGTCCCGTGACTATTTTCTTAAATTGTTTTCAAGGGATGTATCTCTTGCGAACATCAGCATGCACATTGCCAAAGTGTAGTGTATGGCTATTACCTGCTGTACATTACTGTATATCCTTCATGTTATTAATACTATTGATTCCATTGCTTCGGTTGCATGGCTGTAACAGTGATGTTCGATGACTATTTCTACTTGCTTCAGCCCATTTATTCCATGGATGAATTCCCACGGTTAACTTGGAATCATCCCTCTGTTTTTGCAGTTTGAAACAAGGTTCAAAACATGGCATAAGTTGCTGCCGGGAAAAAAAAAAAAAAAAACCATGGCACAAATTAGGCAATAGGCGTAAGATTGCCTCTGTTTAGATTCCCAAGTGCACGAGGTTGCTTCCAAATCTGGCATTCAAAAGGGTATTGATGGGCTTAAGGCCGGAGATGTTCACGTAACTGAAATGATTTTCAGAGGATTGTAGCGTGGGTAAAAACCATTATATTCTTCCTCTTCCTCCGATCTTAAATATAAAACTCATTTTATAGTCTAAATTATATTATAAAACAGGTGTTATATTTTTTTTTTGGACTCAAAACAGGTGTTATATTTAAGATAAGATGAATAGATTATGATATTTGTATTTAAATTTGTATTTTGACGTTGAAGCAAAAAACAAATTATATTCAGCCTTTGTCAATCTGCAATTCCGGTCTCGTGTGATTCCAGCAGCATTTTTACTTGTACTTGGATAAGAGCGTACTATTTTGAATAATAAAAAATTTAATAAAATATTTTAATCTAAACATTAATTATGTTATCACATAATGAGTGATAACGAGGACATGATTAATATATCAATAACATTTGCAGTAAATCATACTAGTATTTATATATAAATTATAAATTATGAATAATGTAATTATTTGGAAATTTTTATGTGACATAAAAAACATAGGGGAATAGTATATTATAAGAACTAAACGAGGTTATTATGTATTGCATTAGATTTAGTGAATAAATAGCCAGTATACTTAAAAAGGTTAAGGTACATCCAGCACCCTGAAATATTTGATTGGGTGCATCTAGTATCTTAAAGTATTTTGTGATGCATTTAGCATTCTGTAATATTTTTTTAAGTGCATCTAGTACTGTGAAATATTTTTTGGTGCATCTAGTACCTCAAAATAATTTTTTTATATGCGTCTAGTGCCCGACAATATTTTTTTGGTGCATCCAACTTCAAGACTAAAAAAATTTTTTTAAGATATTAGATGTACATAAAAAATATTTCATAATGTTGGATATATTACAAAGTATTTCAAAGTGCTGGATCCACCTGAGACAATATTTGGTGGTGTTATTAGATGTACCTTAACCCTATGGAAAAATAATTGGCGAGATTCCAGTATTAATTCATGCCTGTTTTTTCTGGGGTATGTAGGAAATAAGTCAAACGAAGTCAATTTCGGTTGAATAAACTTGGGCTTTTCGTATAAAAGGCCTGAGTATAAGCTTAAACCTGACTTTTTAACTAAGCAGGTCAGACTTTTGCTCAAAAAAAAAAAACTAAGCAGGTCAGACTCAAATTAAATCATGCCGAAACGTAGATCTTTAATAGGGATTTGTTATTAATTTTTTTTTAAATTATTTAAATCATATTTTTGCCTATATATAAATATGATATACAGTTATAGATCCAAACATACGTGACTCGATATATATTTATATAAGGGAGGAGTATAGCAATAAATAATTAATATAAAAAATGAAGTTTTTAAATAATTAATAAAATCAATATCTTCGTACCGGAGACAATCTTGTTCGAGATACAAACACAAAATGTGGGCATTTTTTTCAGCAAAAATTTTAATAAAATTAATTTGAATTAAAGTTGTTTATATATAATTCATCTATAAATATACCACTTAATATTATTTGCATATGCGAACATATATATCTTTATGTGCATAAATAATTTATAAAAGTAAGTTTGATAGGTCAATAGACAAGGCTTCAAGTAAACAAGTCCGACCCATTTTCGTAAACAGACCTGATTAAATGCTTAAGGCGGGCCTTTTTGTTAAATGGTAAGTCAGACTCGAGATGTCTGAATAGACCAACCAGCTTATTTATTTGTTCTTTTTTTTTTTTTGTGTTTTTGCCAGCCCTGCCGACTTATTTATGCGTGTTCAATACTCCAACCCTCAATATTAACTAGGGCTCTCAAAGTAAATTCATGGTTACTTTGTGAATCCTGATTTTCATGGATGCTGGAGCTCTAATAAATTAAACATGTGATGGGATTAATATCCAGCCTCTTTGATAGCTCATCATCTCACAAATCTGCGGTCCAGGTCACTCGGCCTTCATTAAAGCTAAACAGATTGGTTAGGACAGCAAAGGGACCCTCTTTTGCTCACATGCAAATAAATTGAGAGCCTTCCCTCCCTTTTTACCCTGACACACACTCTCCCCCCCTCGCTCTTCCCGAGCTATAGAATTCCCTTTAACTCATCCAATCTTCTTCCCTTACCCTTGGCTCCTTTTTCCCGCACGCTGTGTTTCTTGCTTTCAGGAACAAAACAGAGCAATGTCTCACCCCAGAAAGAAGCTTCATTTGAGCTCTGTCTCCGTCAAACTAGGCTGCAGCAGCTGCAGGAGACCAAAGCTCTCTCATATATTCCACCCAAAGCCTAAACCCAAGAACCCCTCTTACCATAAACACAAACTTTACAATCTTTCTTCTTCAAGCCACTACGACTCCGCCACCACCACTACCACCACCACAACTTTCTCTCCCTATGTCGACTCCTCGCAGTTTTCTGACTCTGATTACTACGGGAATGCGTCGAGGACAGTCGGAGCTTTCGGCAGGGTAGGCGGCGAAGGCGTGGCGGTCGAGAAAGATTCCGACGACCCTTATCTGGATTTTAGGCACTCCATGCTTCAAATGATACTGGAGAATGAGATATACTCCAAGGACGATCTTCGGGAGCTTCTCAATTGTTTTCTTCAGCTCAATTCTCCCTACCACCATGGAGCTATAGTCAGAGCTTTCACTGAGATCTGGAATGGGGTCTTCTCTGTGAAGACCAGTTCACCCAGATTTCACTTCAGTCGCAAGTCACGTGACTTCTGAGTTCTCCACGTGGTTGACAAGACGGATAAGCATTACAAGGCTTCGTTGCTTTGTGCTCGGACAAACTTATTTCTGCTATGCTAACGTTGCATTGTACACATGTCGTGAACTAATGATCACCCAAATGTAAAGTGTCTCTGTTAGTTTTCACCTTTTTGTTTTTGCGAGAAGATAAGGCTCTGTTTGGGTGCTCCAAGACTATGACCATGGTTTCAGAAGCACTTTTCCGCAAAATGAGGTAACCTCCTCCACATATTTACTTCGTAATCCGTAAAAGCACTTCTGAAACCATGATTTGGTTTTTATCCAAACACTCTCTAAGTAGAACTTTACCACAAATGAATGGTTAGTTGTTCATGAAAAGTATTGCCACGTTAAGTTCCATTAACCTTGCGCCAGTTTGTGTGATTGTGTCGTCCTCAGAATGCACCTTCAGGGGACCCGAATCCATGAGTCTCGTAACTTTTGGTCAAAAATGCTTGCTAGGTTTTGCGTGCTGAGCCCGTGGTGAGAAAAGAGTATGCATTGGGATTTGAATTATAATAATTAGAGTGATCTGAGTGAGGAGTAACCGTTGGTTTAATGCTTTTGAATGAGATTAATATAATAAAAAATCGATAGTGACTTGGTACTTTTTCCAATACTGGGTTTTATAGCTTTCTTGCCAGCTGGTATCTGCTTGTTATTGAAGCATATGAAGTTATTCCCTTTACTATTTTCTCTTCTCTCTGCGCTCATTACTGCATTGCGTGCATTTAATTTCGGCTGTGAATTATATGAGCCTCTTAAAGGGAGGAAGACTTCATGGGTGATTAAGGTCTGCAAGCATTTATAATCTGACACAGACTTCTGAATTTATTTTTTATAACTTCCATAACACGGTAATTAAATAATTTCCCTGTATCGAATCTTGATTCGTAATCTAAGAAATTCTGAAGATCACCAGTTGGGATTGATAGTGAAGCGTAATAACAGTGCTGTCATGTACCAGAAGACTACACCAGATACACATGAATATCAGAAGAGTGGGTACCAGTCACAAAACTTTTACTAAAACCCATTTTTCAAGCACTTTGGATCAAGGTTGGACTGAACTGAACTGAACAGAATTCTATTTTTCAGAGGGTAGTAAAAGTTACCAAAACTGTCTATCATATCACCAACACTGTGATCAGTGCGGGCCGTTGCAACTTTTCCTTTGGCGGTGGATGTCCTAAAGGTGGGAATAGTGATTTGATCAGAAAGATAAGAGTTTAGGAAAAGATGCAACTTTTGCTTGGATGATCAGATAAAATGAACAGGAAAAAGAAAAAGCATAGATGGAGACAGTTGAGAATTAGTATTCGCTTTTCAGAGAGTTCAATCTATAAATGATAAAAGAAAACCCATCAAGATGTGATTCCAGTTTGTCCATTTTGCAGAGTGGACTCTAAAATGTAGATACGCGATCATTAATAACACTTAAATGTGGTCTACAATCAGTGGATGGTCAAATCTAAAACAGGATAGGATATCTTCATAGTGGAAGCACAAAGGTCCATCGTTCAAAGCAAGAACCATACCATAACTCAAATTGCGACAAAGATATATGCACAACAAACCAAGAAAGCAAGCTATGTCGAACTCAGCATTTTCAAATTCTTGCTGTGCAGAGTAACGTGTTTTCGTTCCATCGCAAGTGGCTGACTCGCGTCATATCATGTTAGAATCGCAGAAATATATGCGCATATGTTAACACCATTCAATCATCTCGTTGATTCTATATCATAGTAACTTGGTTTAAGTTGTAGAAATGGAGCTCAGGAGTGAGGACTTACGTACAGCAAGTCACAGCATCATTAAAGGGACATGGACATATTGATTTAATGATCTATTGTCACTTCAACTAATTTGTGGGGGACATCTGTGCACTTGTGTAGGCTAGGATTAACATGATGTTGTTGCCTTGGTCCATATTAGAGTCATGTCATGAGTTATCCTCATGACAGAGAGAAGTCTCAAAAACTTAAGTTGGTCTTGTCCTGCTGCAAGAAAAGATATAACCACTTCTTCATGTATCTTATATGTGAGTTGGCATTTGGATTTGACAAAAATTAAGATAGCTAAGTCTACATTAATCATTTGCCTTTGTCTTCAAGGATGCCTACACTAAAGCATTAATTAGTTTCTGTTATGTTTTTGTCCTCCCCGAGGGGCTAAGCAGAGGACAAAATTACTTGGTGAGACCTAATTTCACAAAGGTAGCTCCTGAAAAAAACTAGGAGAAACAACACTCCACTGACGCAAGATTAAAGTTGAGAGTAGTCAAAACGCACCGGCTGGAAGATGCATCTTTCCTCCTAATTGTGAATGCTAGTTCAGGAACAGATTTGTCTTACAAAAGGAAAAAAACTGAATTAGAGAAAGAAGTAATAACTAACAAGTTGTCCTTTTGAAGTGTAAAGAGTTTTAATGAAGGAGAAATTAAATGAGGGGAAGAGAGACATGGTTTTGGCAACGGCTATAATGGTGGTGGTCAGAATCTGCCAATATTAAAGATGAGCACAGTGATTGGTTTTCCATAGCTTATGCAACAATAGTATAGATTTCATCATTACGAACCCACACACTCCATTACTCTTCTCTGGTAAATGCAAAATGCTTAGAAGTGAGAGCATCACGAGCTCGTCCTTTTTACTGCTTTCCCTTTAATGAATGAATTGAATGCTCCCTTTTTCATCAAGTTTCCCACTTTCTCAACTACGAAGAAGTGACGATACATGACAGCTTAAAGAATAGAAATATGTGGTAGCAAAAGATTAAGTGTGAGGAAAATCAAGATGATAAAAAGCAGACAAGACACTTATCTACAAAACTAACAAAACAGAGTGCGCCCCATCGTTTCAACGGGGTCCCTCCCAAAATGCCTCACTTCCAACACGTTATGTTGTTAATGTCGTGCTCTTAGGCAGCACGACACGGCTTATTGGGATGAAAGAAAGGTCAGTTCCCGGTAGTGTACTCAATGACTCCAAGCCTTAGGGTTAACATGATACTGTTTGATATAACACGCAAAATCTGCTGTTCAAATTAATTTCAATAATTTATATCAAATCACAACTTCTGAGGGCCTGGTGTTTTCCTCACTACTTGGGCTGGCATGTAAGCCCATGTAAGAGATGCAGAGATGTGAGTTCCAGTTTCAAACGATCTATAAAATTTTCATACGAAAGAAAAAAGTTACAGAAGACGACAAGAAAATTGACTGGCATAAGATCATGAACTTTTCTTTTACATGATTAGAGAATTGACATGTCGTGGGAGAGTTTACCGTTTAGTGACAAGTGATGACAAGGAAAAAATTAGTATGACATGATGAAGTACGATGACACCTAAAATTTAGTCTGGAGGGGGAAAGGCTGGAACCTGAAGCACAGGTCCCCATCCCATCAAAGTTTCGGCCAAGAAGACAACACAGGAACATGCTAATCTGAGGACATAACTTTTGCCATTTTGTTTGCTCACATGGCTTCCAATAGGGTAAACTTTTCCACTCTGACCATCTCATGGCAAGTTATACATTACCCGCAGCTTCAGAAATTTCAATTTTGAATATTGTGCCTTCCCCACACATGTGGTGGTGACGAGACTTGCGTGTTCTCATCCTCATCTGAATCGACCTACGTTTTTCACCCCGCAAGCTAAATCTCGTATTGTTTCACTTCCATACGTGTAACACGCTACCCAGCGATTTGTGCAGTTATTAATATATTAAATAACAATTAAGGGGCTTTTAACATTAATTAAGAATAAGTTTGCATGCGAAAGGTAGGTGAAGGATAAATCTGGGGGATCAGGTTTTCAAAGGAATAAACAAAGGAACATCGACGATCCTAAGCATTGGTCCCCATCCCCTTCTCCACCCTCTCTATAAAACACACCAGTTTCATTTTCCCACACAAGGTGCTTTTTATCAGGAATGATTATTCCTTGTTATAAGTTACTAACTGAGTTACGTTTACATTTTTTTAAAATTATTGCTATTTAAAATTTGATAAAATTGTTTCCTCTCAAAATATAATTCAAGATTTTAAATAAAGATAAAATTTTTTTAAAAAAATTATTTTCAAACAGATTTAATAACTTGATATTTTTTTAAATTCTGATAAATTTTGACACCAGAGTGTTATTTGCTTATTTTTCACCGTGCTGCTCTTATTGGCACTCAATCATCAACTTTGGTACATAATTAATTCACCCACATCATGCCCAATGCGTCAATGCCCTCAATTCACCTAATCACTACGATTTCCCTTCCATTATATTTATATGTAGTTACGTAGAAAAATGTGTACGCATCCTGTAGGATAATAGAAGCTCCTGTACTCTAAAGCTGCGGGCTACTATTTGAATATATATATATATATATGTATATAATAGAGCCTATATATTAATATCTACTTACATTGCTGACCGTGAATTCGTGATTATGTATGGGACCTAGACAATCATATACAATCACTGGGTTTAGAAGCTTCGCAGCTGGACCGGAATCTTAGGGGAGGAATCTATGCAGACAAAGTCTGGATTTATGAGCCTTCACCCATATTTAACTCATTAATTAATTGGTTCACAAACTTTGTCGCCTTATGTTCATTTCAGTAAAACATGTGTTCCTGACTTCTTGTCAATCCCAGAACGGCATGTTCATTCAAATTTAATTACAAAGCTCGTCATGTTCGTCTCTGGGTACGGGTAGCTATACAATAGAAAAAAGAGACACGAGTATTTAAGGATTATCTTCTAGACCTCGCAACCTATCTTTCTAGGTCGTGACTTCTGAAAATTAACATTACTTATCTGATTTTCTGAGACCCACAGACTTCAGTGTAGGGAGTCGCATTCAGAATAGAGCCCAGAATAAATGAATAGATATTTGAAATCTAAGGATGACAACGAGATCTAGTTTCAAAAATGGACATTAAGTGACGAGGGCCATTAAATAGTAATGCTTTTCTTTCTTCTTCTTCTTCTTTTTTCCCACATTAAGAGAGAGTGGATAGGGAATGCGAGTGGTAGGATTTTGGCAATGTATTCCTCAAGGGACCATTAAGTTTCAATATTGGTAGTGACATTCTCTATACTCCTTTTGTTTTTTCTGGCACTTGAAAATGAATGATAAAGATATAATATCTTTTGTGCCATTACGTAGTGGTAGGCTCCTTCGCTGTCCTTCCAGGTTACCAATTTACAGAGAGAGAAAAGAAATCACACAAGGATATGAAAATTTTCAAATCCACAGCCTCCCTCTAGTTAGTCCAATCATTCTAGACATTACTGAGGTATAAATGACAGTATTTTGTACTCTTCCTGAATCTT